GACACAAAAAATAAATTTGTTGTCCCCCGCTTGAAAAGTGGGGGATATTAATTTGGGTTTGTCCGTCCGTCCGTCCGTCTGTCCGTCCGTCACGTCCGTCCGTCCGTCTTTCTGTCTGTCTGTAACGCTTTCGTTTCCACACGATATCTCGAGAACCCTTTGAGCTTTTGCAATGAAATTTAGCATAGCAACTCCCTATGGACTAAAGAAGACCCCTATTGATTTTGAGGTCAAAAGGTCAAAGGTCAAGGTCATAAATAAGCAAATTCTGTCTGTTAAAACACTTTCGTTTCCACACGATATCTCTAGAACCATTTGAGCTATCGCAATGAAATTTTACATAACAACTCCCTGTGGCCTAAAGAAGACCCCTATTGATTTTGAGGTCAAAAGGTCAAAGTTCAAGGTCGTAAATTTATACATTCAGTCTGTGTGTAACACTATCATTTCCGGGCGATATTTCAAGAAGATTTTGAGCTTATGCAATGTAATTTTATACCAAAACTCCCTAGGACGTCTCTCGCCCCTCTCAAAGTGCCCCGCCCCGTTTGTTTTATTAGTATTTATAGTATTACATGTCGCTATTTTTAGCGCAGGGGCATGAGGAGAGTTATTGCGTATAAAACAGGTTCTCGGCGGACTTTATGTTCTTATTACATCTATTATAACTGTTTAATGAAGGCTAAATAAATCAAACACCATGGATTGTGTAAAATTTTGAGAATACCGAACATGAAAACATGAATATATACATGTATGTGACTTCAGTTCTGCATATACTTCACTTCGAGTAAAGAGACTCCGTGGTCTAGTGGTTATGTCTCTTGCTTCAAATGTGAGAGGTCCCGGGATCGAATCCCGGTCGAACCCTTCTTTTTTTTTTGTTTTTAAATACTTTTTTTTTTTACTAAATGATAGTATTCAGCATGTGAAATGAAAAATTTATGAGGTTATAAAATCATCATTACAGTGTGATAAATATTTCATATAAAAAAATCTTCTATACACATAATAAAGAATAAGCAATCAAATCTTTATATGCATATTGACATACATGTATTTTATTTCCTTCAGTATACATGTATACATTTAATAATTCTACAAATTCAGTCAGGGGGAGCCGACTTTTTCCCTAAGCGGGGGACACGAATTCTCTGAATTAGCTTGTTACTTCACAATTCCCCCAACTTCTGGAGAATCAGGACTCTTTATTTCTTCACTAGATATTGAGTTTCTACTTTACAGGATCATTACCTGTACCATTTTGGGTTTTATTGAAGTATTTGACATTTCCATTAAAATCTAGATGTCGATAAAAGAACTCTCACGACTTTTAAGCATGGTCCAATTAAGACTCACGTAACTGTAGATCGGACAAATCTCCAATTATTGTATATTGATCAAGTTATTTGTTCATTATTTCGATATCGGTTTATCGTCCACTGTTGTGAAAACATGTTTCCTTGTCCCAAAACAAAGATTATCGATTTCAAACAGACACCTTCATCAATACCTTGTTTGATTAAAGGAGTATTTCTCGCTAAAAATTGAGCATATGGAGTGTTGATTGTAATATTCTCACCTATTGATTAACCCTCATTATTTACTATAAATTATATAAGTTTTCTTCTATACATATTTGCCACGTTCCGCACTTATAATTTTTCCGATAAATCTGTCAAAATGATAATAATTTTGTTTGTTTATTTCAAATTTTAATCTGAAGAAAATCAAGTTTTTTTCTGCTTATTAAGAGAGAGAGAGAGAGAGAGAGAGCCGAATGCCATATTGAATCTAACCAATAACCAACTGGAGTGAACTGAGTACTGTTGCAGTGTCAGATAATGACCCTGATGTCCGAACATTAGAACAAGTCGCCATTAAAAAGAATGCGTGTGAAAATCCTTTTCGCAACTGTCAGCTCTGTGAATAATGACAATTATTCATTGATTTTAGCCTCTGATCACGAAGGGATGGAGGTTTTCGATGCTAATCTAAAAATCTTATAACAACTCTCCATCGGCCTGCATCTGCACATAGGCACACAAACATATGCTTAACAAGCACGTGGAAAATAATTAAGTCTGATCGTGTTCGATTGTCCGGTGTTTCCCGAATTTCCACAAAATTTTATGACCTTTGGTCGGTAGTTAGTGTCAGTTTTGGTTAAGGGGGGTTTCCAGTGCAGACCTTTAAATTGCTTTATAGCAGAGATATGGAACTTCGTGCATGAAACGCTAAGATAACAATTTCTTTATAGACCCTTGCCAGTGACATTTTTTATGATTTTCTGGTAGAATGAAAATTAAAGTTTATTTGTTTGGCGGAGGGGGTAAGCATCATAAATTGGTAAATTGTTTATCTTTCCTTGTCAAATAAAAAAAGATGGATATGAATGGATTAGATGGTGATAATATTCTGTAATTATTTCCAGATAAGAAAATAATTATATTCCAGGGTTCTATATCTACGTGAACCAAACAAGTTCATTTCGATTTCCCCTTTCTCTGGGTTTTCACCATAGATAAGGGTATGGGTGAAGGTGAAAATTCCTTTGTTTCTTAGCCCCTTCGTGACCAGGAAATTATTCATCGAGTCAGGCGGCTGGACACCCCTTATCAGGTCAAAATAAATAACCGACATTTTCCGCTGAGTAGACAGACCCTCAGAGACAAAATAGAATTAAGTAAAGCAAACAAACACACGAGTTGTAGCAACATTTGTAAGTAATAAGTATGTAAACTATTTATGAATTACAGATCGGTAAGTGCTTATGTGGTGTTTATAACGTGTGTGTACAGCGTAAATAATGACATCCCGGTTGCTCTGCTTATTTTCATATTAGTCAGTCGTTAATGCATAAAGAGACAGATGGAAAAGGGCGAGGATACATTATAGAAAAAATATATATATCCTCATCAAAGAGTTCCATTGCTCATACTATACATTGCGATTCATTATATTTGAGAAGAATAGCATGGACATTTTCTGGGAACTAGTAAGACATTAATTTTGGCAGCGGCAGTTTGATAACATTTTTGCTGCACATGTTGGAACTCAGGGAAAAGCCTTGTCTGGGAAATTTTATGAGTCCCAGATGGCTGTAAGAAATTTTGCACGTTGACAGCAGCTAAAGATAAGTCAAGTCGTTAATCCTGTTTTCCTTCTAAACAAAAATTAAGCTATCTGATAAAACCATCGGGAAACACGACCCGCACCGAGGATTTGTGAATGACTTCGCTCTTCGATAGTCCTCTTGAATGCGCACAGTGACTGGTGGCACAAATCCGAAGACTTTGTCGAATAAACAGGGATTTATACAAAGAAGAGATAATATTTAGATCATAGATTTTAGTCACAAGACGTCTTCAGGTGTTTGATTTGATGATGTCCAGTAGATAACATTGAATGACACGATGTCTTAATTGTATTGTTTTTATGTAAAGTGTCATTGTTTACAACAAAGAGTATAGAAGTTGCATTTACTATGCCTGAAGCATGGCGTTTTGAGATATTTCGATAAATACCGGCGTAGCCTGTCTATCTCTCAAATCACTGGTGCATTAAAAAAACCTAACAGAAGTCGAAAAATCAGTAACACTTTATTAACAATTTCTTTGTACTAGCTGAGAAAAACGGAAATTAGATTATCCCTTCAAATTAACCTGAACGTTTGCCCTTCTCAGATAAATTCAACAAAGGGAAGGTTTTGTTCCCCATGTTAACTTTAACCAGCCTTATTTTCCCATGAATCAGACATAATTATGGTTAAAAATATACTTGAAACCTAAAGACAATGCAATTAGAAACCCCCCACTCGAGGAAACTATCAAAAGTCAAATCCTCTCGAAGCTTGGTTACATTGTACTTGAATCACAAGGTGGAATTTATAGCTAACCACTTTCCTTTTCTATAAATTTAAGACATCTGTACACTCAACGCTCGAGACGAAATAATGCGATTGGAATCTCATTAAAAATGTACTGTCCCAAATTTGACCCCTAGATTTTGTCCGTTATTTAAGCACTAGGTACTTATAAAATTCATCTGTTGACTTGTTTTAAAATTAAATACAGGATAAAAATTAATCTCCTTTTCTTGGTGGCATAAAGGTTCTTAATGGAAACATGTTTGACTTGGGACCCGCTCTTTCTTCGAGTAAATTTTCTTCGAATGTTTGGACAAATAATTTACACGGATATTTAATAATGCAGGTTAAGTCATAAAAAAGTGCAGGTTATTCCCTAATATTTCAGTCTCTATCGCCCAAGGTATTAATGAGTAAATATCACAACTGTGATATATTTTCAATGAATTAAAATCTTTAAAAAGAATCTTTGCCACTTCCAGTTGGCCAAAGGGAAAAGATGAAAACAAAAGAGTAAATATCATAGTCATTATACAATTATGTTTTAATTACTTAATATCATTTCATTGTTATCTTTTTGTCCATAATAAGAATTTAATCTTCTATTTAATTAGCCTTTTAGCGACATCCAAACTACATTATGTAACGCGTGTAAGATTTCTGGTTTGGTCCCCCCATTCTTTTGTTCTGTCTCCGTATTAATTGTTCGGAATAACAATTGATGGATTCCAAACCATACCAAGACGTTTCTGGCACCAGATAGCTATGATTAAGGAAGCATAAATTAAATGAGCATTGTAATCTGATGGGAAGAATTACTGGTTATTCCATGGCATTGTGTTTTCTGATTAACAGCCGTAATTTTAACTGAACAATTCCTAGGGTAACGTATGAAACCAAAACTTAATAACAAATATTTTGTTCATTTTTTCCCTTTTATCAATAAAATACATCTCCTTAACTCAACGACGAAACTATCCAAAACACAGAATGCTAAGTGTCCTGCTGGGTTAAATATTATAGTCAAGAATGTCAGCGGTCACCTTTTCAAGTCAAGTGGAAAAAGTAAATAAAATTGAAAGAAAAATGGCAGTAAAAATAAAATTTTAAAAACAAGTAACTAAACACTTACCTGATGGACCACGAGGACAGCTAGGCACCGGCATATTATACTATCATGTCCCGGCAGAAAAATAACATGAAAAAAGTCCCAATGTAATGCCCCAAACTGTATTTCACAGGAGAGCAAAAGGAATATGAGTGCACACTTTAAAGTAACTTTAAATACCGAGGCACGTTGAACGGCTTAAAGCCGCAGTTCACAAAGACAGACTACTCTCTCTGATGGTCGATGAATTAAATTCCGGGGATATCCGAAAAATCCAATACTCTAAAAGTTATGATTTTTCCACAGTCCGCAGATCGCTATATTTTGTGTGTGCTCGGTAACGCCTTTCAAAATACTGAATCAATATTTTTACAAACAGAATCGCAATGCAATGTTTTCATCCAATCTCCGCCTACTCTGTACACGTGGTTACTTTAAATAAAACGTGTACTTAGGAACATTAAAGAGCCTATTAACTGTTATCTAATTGTTAGTAAGCATCCAACTGAATTAGTCATATACAGATATCATGGGTTTACATCCTGCACAAAAAAATATCAGTATACCGTACGTAATGATATGTAATAGGCCCGAAAATATCATACGAAAAGTAAGGCAGTGATAGGGATCGCTCAAACTACGGGGTGTCTGTACGATAAACTGACTAGCGATTGCCGAATTATTTTTCGCTAATTAGCCTATTCACGCTATGTTCCGTCGATGGGTTATCAATGCGTTTGTGCGTTTGGAAGATTACACATGTTTTTACGACCAATCAAATCGATGCAGAGTTTGCAGTCCGGGTCATTTTTACGATAATCAAGTTTACTCGGGAACTGTCGGGGGAGAAATAATTTCTCTTTCGCTTATTTGAACAATACGTTTTAATTGCTTGTTAAAGAACATGCACGTAGGAAATGCGATATTGAGACCTCTCTCTGTATTACCCCAAGGGACGGATCTCTAACCAAATTTAATGTGCAAAGTGCATTTGTCGAGTTCAAACTAATGATATTGTTCTATGAAAACCATGTCTATTTCATTTAATTATGAAGTTTTTTTTGTTTGTTAAAGTCATTCAAATTTCAACACTTATTTTTGCCAATAAAAGTATTAATAATAATGCTTTGCAAATTACTTGTACAGCAGTTATTCGGGTGAGCAATAATTCAAGTCCAGCTAAAAATAGTCATCTGATTACTTTTTAATATTTTAAGATATTTATAATCATATTTCGAATTGCAGCTGCAAATGTTTCATTTCTTATACATGTACCCGAAATCAACGTCAAACATAATCAGAATTTAAAGAGGGTTTGCTTTCCAGATCGGTTTAAATAGATTAAAACATGTTAAAGGGAATTCTTTAATCTACATGTAGTTTGTTTCATACAATTTGCAGATAACTTGGTTCCATTGATATAGATCATTTTTTGATATCACAAAAATATTTAAAAGAAAGCATTATTTTTCTAACAAATAAAATCCAATATTTTGATGACAATCGACATCTGAATGTGAACAATACTAATCCCTGCAGTTGAAGAGTCTGCCGAGACGAGCTGAGTGTCAAACATCAGCGGGGGGCATATGATTATTTAACGAGCTGACTTTGTGAGTTTGTCAACTTGTGTTTGTTTCAATCTTTGCACACAGGGAGATTAATTTGATTTTTCGATTAAATAAACACCGTATCTAGACCTTTATAGACCATGTGACATCGCTCAAGTAAATGAAATCGGACCCTGAATATTCTCGCACCTTTGTCCGTAGGTCGCTTATTAAGAATAAATTTTAGGTTAATATTGATGCTGTTTCTTTAATTGACACAAAATCGTACCTAATTAATTTTGGATTGATTGTTAATTAACGAACAAATGCCAATATTTGGTGTACTAAATAATCGACCTGTCAATTAACAAAACACGCGAACAATTTGATTATCCAAAAATGGGAATGAAATTCATCAATACTCTGCGAGTGTCAAAAAATAGTCAGATATGGATATTCTTTCAATGAAAAGCACTTTGCTAAAAAATGACAAATCGTAGAAAATCTGTTCTTCAGTTACGCAAAATGAATTACATGTACTACAATACTGGTATATTAATAGACGAAAATCTGACAAGTTGTCCCTGCGAATACCACTTAACTCCGAATTATTTCGTTCCTTTCAATGTATGAGATTTGACAAAAACAGAAAAATAAAATGAATGTATTAAAAAAAACAAAAACTGAAGCTTTGCTTGAAACAACATAAAACGGGATACTTAATTTATCATAAGCATGTTTCCCTCTTTGCACGGAACTCCTCTTTTCCTTTTATCGTCTGAGAATGAAATGACAAAGACGAAGATTTCTCCATAGACCATCACTCAGTTAACTAACATTCAGAAAAAATAGTCGGCCATACTTGTCAATTTTTCTTTCTTGTCTTTGCAGTAATAGACGTATTATTGACTGTCTGATGTCTTTTTAGCGTATAAATCTTGCTTAAATACACGACATTTTGTCTGTTAGTAAATCTGTGGGGATTCAGAAAGATATAAAAGCGAGAAAAGTGCATTAAGAAAGTTTGGTAAGCACTTGATAATTTCCACATATATATGGAATAATGATATAGGCACAATGACTAGTTGACATATGTTTGAGAAACTGTCTGCTCACAAGATCTTATGTATTGGTGTCTGCAGTTTTCCCCGAAGAGCACTTTAGAGATGTAAGTTTTGCTGGAAAATTTATTTAAAGGAGGGATAATCTTATCTTGTTTCTGATTTAGATGATCGAAAGATTCAAAGTATATTTGCTTTTATGTTCTATATATTTAGATGTAAGAGATTTAAAACGTCATATTTTTCCTTTCCTCATCATAATTGTACCACTGTAAATAGAAATGGTAAACAGAGTTTGAATTCTAGCAATGGCTATATTTTTTGGCGGAATGGCGGCGTATGAAAATATCTTCTTTTCTGCCTCTCAAAAGTTTTATAGAACAATCGATTTAGTTATAATTTTTACACAATCAAACACTTAAAAAAATTCAAATGTAAGTAAAATTTATAATTTTTCAACGGTTGATGCTTGGACATTCATATTTTCCTATTAAAGTGTATTTCTTGAGACAAAGCCTCTCTCCAATATTTTTAATCTTTTGACCTTGGAGTTTGATTTGAAATTGAGAAATTTTAACTTTTGTACTGAGCTGCCTTACGGGGACATCAGTGTTTCACATAGCTGCAGAACTGTAGCTCTCTGCTTGAGAAAATTCGAACAGATAAAGCAGAGAGCTACAGATCCAAGCGTTGTAAAAACCTTCGATTTACGCCGCCGATTTTTTGTCGCTCACTTCGGGTATTTTTTCTTGTAGTTTATACTTACCCCAGCTTTAAAAATGGTATTTCATATATTAATCTAATAATTAATCATACATTTAATTTCTATTCCTGATAATTTACTTACCTTTCAAAGCAAACAAATTGGTGTTTGTGGTTACTGACATAGAAATGGAACTCTTTTAAACCGACATCACAAAACTATTTACAGGACTCTTTCGGACCGTTAAAAGGTAAATAAAGTATGATAAAAAAATAAGAGCTAAATATATGATTAATTAGAAGATACAATTCTGAAAGCCAGAGAAAGCTTAAAGTAGACGAATTAAATACCTAAAGTAGCCACAAAAAAATCGTCGGCGTAAATCGAAGGTTTTCACAATGCTTGGATCTGTAGCTCTCTGCTTTACCTGTCCGAATTTTCTCAAGCAGAGAGCTACAAATCTGCAGCTACCCAGCTGGATGCATTTTTTGTAATCAAACACAGCAAGGATTTATTTTTTTTTTAAGTTACACAACGTTTTCCTGACCAAAAAAGAAACCTTTTAAGAGCAATACAGGATTCAAAAAGTATTCGTAAATATACTAAACATAAAAATAAACACTAGAGGTACTGTGAGCAATGAGCTCACTAAATGATACCCCCCGCCTCCCATAATGTCGATGTGTTGCTTTATATTGTTTTAGGGTAATGTGTAAAGAGGAATAACTCGTCCTATGAAATGTTATCCAGAAGCTTCTATTATGTGACGTCATAGGTAAACAAAAAATGGCAATGTCCATGTTTTGCTCTGGGAAACCTAAAATACGTGTCGAATAAAAAAGTAAAATAGGAGGTGCACAATGGCAATATGTAATAAAGATTCTGTGAAAGTTTCATTAAATTTCACTCAGTAGTATAAGAGGAGTTGCGGATAAGAGAAAAAGCGTAACAGACGGACGGACGGACGGACGTACAGACGGACGGACAGACGGACGGACGGACGGAAATCCCGATTTGACTGTATAAGGTAAGGACGCTATATGTTATGTATTTCGTAGGAGAGAGGTGTCAGAAATTGGATGCTGGTCTTTGTACACCAAGCTGTTATAAAAAGATGCATCATGTTTCACACCACTGAATTGATAATTGGTTGTTCAGTCCCTGGAAAAAATATGTTGCCTGGTGACTCTAGTAAAACTTGCCATTGTATAATTATGCAAAGTATTATATTTTCAGGACTGACATTATAAATTACTCGTTTTTATCTTGAATCAATTATCTTGCAAAACTTGAGGAAAACCCCAAAGAAACTTTCGTTATCTGGTAAAACGCGAATTCCACGATTTTTTGGTCAAATTTTCTTTGTCGTGCATAAAGGAATGTTAACATTGACTGGGCTTGGTGTAAAATGCGGAGGATGGAGTCTCCACAAAACTCCAAAATGGAGGGTCAGAGAGTGCAAGGGGTGGAGCCTCTTGTGTCAGTTTTTATACATTTGCCCGTTTTATCTTTCAATCATTTTAGAAGCTGGATACAACTGGGTTGCTTGTAGAGCTCTCCATCGGTGATAAAAAGTGTCTGTCAGAATTAATTACTGAGTCTAGATACTGGTATGTCCCAAAAATTTTATTGCAGATAATTATGTCATGCATAACATATAGCAGATCACTTTGTCTGCAAATTATCAACAACTAGAAAACTGACCAGTCAGCAAGGGCCCCGCCATGGGGTGGAATTATAAGGATGCAGCTTATGGAATGATTAAAAAATATATGAAGAAATAAGCAACAGCAAATGTATTCTTAAAATTTTCAACATAATTCCTGAATATCCAAAAACCTGTAAATAATATCCTTGTATATTTACATTAGGCACTGGCAGTAAAGAACAACATTGAATGTATATATAAACAATAATGAAGTTTGTGTTTGTGTTATATAAAATGCCAGTCTTCAATGAATGCAAATACATGTATCATGAAGGCTTGACCTTAACTTCAAAACAAACAGCAGTTGCAGACAAAGTTTTTCATTAATCTTAAAATGACAGATAAAGATAGGCCTACTAAATTTTCTTCAGCAGGCTAGATAATTAATCCTGAGGGATTAATTGTACCTCTCTCATCATTTTCTTCTAAAGTTACAATAAGAACTTTTTCAGTTTTAATATTAGAATGGCTTAATCCAACTACCTTAAAAATTATTATTATTCTTGAATTTACATGAGGGAAAAAAGTAAAAATAAAAGATATGTCTTCTTTAATCTATTTCTTGTTTTTAGAATTCAATGAAATCATAACTCATTGTGTAGGTATTTTAACCA